AAAGAAAGAAAAGAAAAAAATCAGGTTCAAAGAACTGCAGAAGAGAGAGAACACACAGCATTTGCCTTTCTGGATTTGCCTTACCTCACTCAGTATAATGTTTTCTAGGTCTATCCATTACATCCATGCAAATGCTGTGATTTTTTTTTTTAAACAGCTGAACAGTATTCCATTGGGAATATGTTAAGGCATTCCCATTCATCTATTGAAGGACATTTAAGTTGTTTCCATTTCCTGGTTATTGTGAACAGAGTGCTATGGTCACTGCTGAGCAAGTGTGTATGGAGTGGGATGTTGAGTCCTTTGGGCATATGCCAAGGAGTGGTAAAGCTGGGTCATGTGGTAGATTTATTTCTAGTTTTTTGAAGATTCCCCATACTGGCTTCTAGAGTGACTACACCAACTTCTGCTCCCAATAATGGTGAGCCAGTGTTCTCGTCCAGTTTGGTTCACCTTAGCTATTCTGACTGGGAGAGATGAAATCTCCAAACTGTTTTAATTTCATTTACAGTTTTTGGATATTAGCCAATTTTATCTCTTCTATCAAGTACTCTATTTAGATTTCTAGCCCATTTTTAAATGGGATCATTTGTGTCTATTAAATCTTGTTTTTTAATTCTTTGTATAGTCTGGATATTAATTTTCTAAATCAGGCAAAGATTCTCTCCAATTCTTTGGGTTTCTTATTCACTTATTGTTTCCTTAGCTGTACAGGAGCCTTGTAGCTCCATATCCTCAAATGTCAGCATATAACATGCAGTAACCATAGAAACCAATCAATTATAAAGAAGGTGGGGCGGGGCAGGACACAGGTGATATAAAGTAGGAAACAGTAACAGGGAGGGTGGAGGTCAGTACAGAAGGAGAGATGAGGGACAAAGGAACACCAAAGTTGTTGGATACAGCCTCAAGGAATCATATTGTATGCTCACCTAAAATTATAACATGTAAGTGTATATGGACGGACACACACACACACACACCACACACCTTAAAGAAAGTTAAGCCACTTGGACTCTGCTCCTCCCAGGAACCACAGACTAACAAAAAACCAGTATCAGGCACAAGAAACCTTTCAAATGGTTGGTCAGGGTAATCCAACTGACTCCTAAAACAGTATAGATTATAAATGTAGCCCTTGGTGGCTTCTCAAGGACTGAAGATGGGCCCCTCTTGCTGAAGACACCATACACTTTGGACACAGGACTCTGCTGATTGGAGCTAGATCTGACCTGAAAGTCTCTTTCCTGTGATCTAGCTTCATGGTTCCAGAAAATTCTATGTAGGCTGCCACAAGGACAGAGGGAAACAATTAAACAGTCCTACCCAGCTTCAAATACCTATGGCCCACAACAATGACCAGCATGGCATAAAGGTGCAAAAAGAGGCACTCACATGTTGGTTGCAATCAATATCTGATAGACTTAAAGCCCATTCAATGGGTGAGAAATCATGTCTGGTACTGAAAACCTAGTCAGCTCCCCAGGGCTCAGACTAGCTTAATTCTTTCCTTACCACATTCTAAATCTTAGCCTTATGCCCACAAATAAGTGTAGCTACTAGCCCTCATCATAGAAGCCTCTTTTTATGTCAAATAGAGACTATCACAGAAAATCACAAATGGACACAATGCAGAGATCAATGGATGAAGGGCAGCCTAGCCCCAACAGATACTTCTACATCATAGCTCCTACTGCATCTACAGTTCAGGGAACTTTGTGGAAGAGGGTGGAAAGACTGTAAGAGTCCAAATACCAGGAAATCTACTGTGAAACAGTCTCCTAGAAATGGCTGTGTGAACAAGACCAGTACAATGACAATTCTGATGTGAAAGGAGGAAAATCTCTTTGAGGTCCCATCCCTAAACAAAGATCTACAGGCAGCCAATGACTGCTGAGAGAATGATACTTAGCCTCTCCCAGGAATGAGCCCTTTTTGGTTGTCCAGTGTAAAGTAGTCAGCCTGAAAACCATATACACACAAACAACAAAAGTAGCCTCAGTAAGTTGTATTTATATTTGTGCACACACATACATGTTTATAATAAAGAGAAAGGAGCTTTCAACTTGGGGGGTGCATGGAAGTGGCTCAAGGAATAGTAGCTGGAAGAGACTGTGATTCTGTTTCAATTAAAAACATTTCAAATAAACTTTAAAAACAACAAAAATTAGGTGGTCACCGTATTTAGACTCCTTTTAGGCTCCGTGGTAATGAACGAGACACTGACAGAAAAGGTACCGACTGTTGTATGCAAGGTCAAGGTTGTACCCAACAGGTGCCAGGACAAAGTAAACCTGAGTTAAGATACGGATCTCTAAAGACTGAGTTGTTTAGAGAGCAGGAGGTCTAACCTGGGCACATTGCATGAGAAATGGAGACTACTGAAGGGAAGGGTCTGCAGGTCAAAATGTCATGGTGGGGATGGCAGTCAAAACAGGGTGTGAATTAGTTATTTTGAGGGGGAGAAAATTAGCCTGAATTGCTGCCGCCAAATGCACATCACTGCAAATGATAGCCAGATGGAAGTCCTTGGTGATGCACTAGCAGGCCATGACCATGAAGACCCGATGAGAAGACAGCTGAAGGCCAAAGTCTTTAATGAGGCTTCAAGTGATGACTGTAAGAACTAGGAGAGGCTTAAGCACAAAAGACAAGACCCTCCAAACAGCAGGGAAGAGGGAAAAAGGACAGGTACCATGATACTGGAAGAGCAGGAAATGAATGAAGTTAACTCCTAGGCCCTGAGGCTAAGTGACCACAAATAAAGTGAAACAAGGCAGTGGATAAAGTGCAGGAAGGACCAGTGACAGCAAAAGTAGAGAGGCTGGCTCTCTGTGAGAGAAGCAAGTGTCAGAGGAGGGAGGTACTTGGTGCGTGGTGATGGTGATGGAGGTGGTAACGATGGTGATAGTGATGGGGATGCTACGGTTAGCAGTGGTGGCATTCGTAGGTGCTAAAACTG